AACGAAAAACATGGTCACTACATGAACCAGCTCAATGTGGGCACTGCGGAACTACCACTAAAGTTCTCTGCAACAGTAAGCCCCCTCCCTGCCTTCACTCCAGGTCATCATTCGGTACTAAAAACCCCCTCACAGCCTGCAAAATCTTCCGCTTCTGCAGTGAAATCTGCCAGAAGCAAGCCCTCCAAACCCATTTCCTCTACTGCATTCCATCCGTCTCCCTCCGAGAATCCAAATCCCTCGCGGTAAGGCCCAGATGCCCCGCCTCCGCGCGCGATCAAGCCATCTCCAAAATCCGCCTTGTCGAAAAAACCAAGTCCGTCAACGTAACAGCCAGCTATACCTTCTACCTCGACCCCCGGAACTTCACCACCTTCCGAATGAAGCTCAACACCGACACAAATACTGTTATCCTCTTCTCCCTCGACTGCGATATCAAATACGCCACCATTGACAACCCCCTCCTAGATCCTAATCAAGGAGACTCCCGCAGCAGATCCACCTCCCCGTCGTCAACCTCTTCCACGGCCGACCTCAAGGGCGTCCGATGGCTCTCCCCAGACAGACGAGAAGCCATTGTCTACATACCCTCCGAAATGGCCCAGCCCCAAGCCCGCTACGTGCTCGTCACCCCGGGGAGAGAAATGCTCAAATCCATCATCGAGAGGCGAGTCAGTGTGCGCGGTGGCCGCGGCGACAAGGAACGGTTCCGGGCGCTGGAGTTACCTGATGATGAACTGATCGAGTTCGCGCAGGGGTTGTTTCTTGCTGGGTTTTTGGGGGAGGCATTCATGCATGTTGTCGAGTGGGTATGGAAATAAGGTAGAGGGCGTTGTCTTATTTTTTTTTTCAAGTTGTATCCGTTACTACGGGATGAGATGAACATGTTTCTGTATATGGGGGTTTTATTCTTTATGCGTCATGGGAATGTCTGTCTCTCTTTACTTTTGTTCGCTTCGAATACCTAGCACCTACACGGCTTCTTTCCAAGATAGAAATACACCTCTAACTCTCACTATTAGGCTACATATGTACGCTGGTCTTCCTTTGCTATATATATATGCTAGGCATCGTCAGAGAATCTATTACTCTATTAAGCTAAGGGAGCAGTCTAGTGATTTAGTTACATGAGCTGAATCCAAGTAGACCAATAGTAATGATGAATAGGAAATTCGTCGTTACTCTTTGTGGAGGAGCTGCTTGATTACTAAGATTTACTAGTTCGTTGATTCGTGCTTGGATGTGTTCGAAACATAGGGTATACTTTATAGAGAATACCTTAATGGATCGTTTTTACTCCGCTACCTTTCAAATCGCGTTTTTATTAGTTTATTAAAGAAGAAGGGAAAAAAAAAAATTTAAAATCTACTAGGAGATTCTAATGTCTGATAATAATAGTAATATTGTTTATATTCCTTCCACCACCTACAGTTATTGTCTGAATACTGTGATAGGATCGAATGGACCATTTCCATCTGGTATTGTTAATGTAAAATCCAACATCCATGGACATAGTCAGTAATGTCTATTCTAACTCTATGTACCATTTCGTTTCGGTTGCTTCTAATGGGTTTATAGACCAAATATCCATGACCCTAAGCCTGGTTCTCGGGCAGAAAGATCACTTGCGCTTTTCAAATCCAAACGCTCACCGCTTGTTGACAAAAAGAAGATAAACAAAAAAAAAAAAAAACACCAGGCCAGAAGATACAAAGATCATGTATCGAACATATACAGACAAGACACGCGTATAAAGCAGTGCTAAGCTCGTTAATCGTAACTGGAGTATTTAGATGGCCAGAAAGACAGTCGACCCTTACGAGTCTGGCTCCTCCTCGTCAGATTTGTAGTGATCGCTGTCACTCTCCCAGTCATCAGCTTCAAGGGACCGGCCTTGAATGCCGAAACTCAGAAGGAATCCAATGAATGAAATGCCAGCAAAAACGCCGAAGGCTAGGGCTTCTCCTTTGGGCTCGATCTGCGATGATAGGCTGAACAGACCGCCCGCCACGAACGGGCCCACTGCTCGACCGGCTGCAGATAGGGTCTGGGCGAGGCCGTTGAGGGCTCCCAAGACTGCGTGGTCAGGTGCAGAGTTGGTGATCTATGGTTGGATCTGTTACTATCCGGTTGTTGGATGGCAGGGGTATGTAAGGGGTAGACTTACCAGTAACAGTGCGCTGGTTAATCCGCCAACAGTGGCGATTGTCTTTACCAGCAACACAGAGCATAGCTCAACGGCCAAGAGTGCGGTTTTACCAGACAGGCCCCCAGAGTCGTTACCTTTGTAGCCAATGAAGGGCATTAGGATGAAGGAAACTACAAAGCCAAAGAGACCAGCGCGGTAGGACCACCGATTTCCCATCTTATCTCTCAGCTTCCCAAAGATACAGATCTGGAATATGATCGTTACGAAACCTGAAAATCCTTGCGCAAGGCCAATCTCTGAGGGTGTAAGACCTCGTCCAGTGGGAGGGGCAGCCTGTGAGAAGATTGGGAAGAGCGCATTGTAGGCAACATTGCCCAGGGAGAAAACAAGATAAGTTAAGAGGAGTAGGAGAGTGTCCCGGTTCAACAATTCGCTTGACGTCAAACTTGCGTGGTGATGGCCACGATAACTGGATGCCTCTGAAGCCGAGTCAAGGTCGCTGTCATGGTCCGCTGTATCTGCAGATTCTTGGCGAAAAGGGCGATACGGGATAGGGTGTGGTGGTTGCACATATCTCGCCCGTTTCGCAAGACTGGTAAACTGCCACAGCCAGGAGAAGAAATCGTGAACCCTCTGCTGCAATCTAGGCAGACCTTCCGGGTCTTCAAGACTCTCTTCCAAGAAAAATATCGACAAAACAAAGTCCAGCACCAAAACCGCCGCAGACATCAGATTGGGTGCGAGGTACGGATACGGATTGGGCTTGCTGCTGTCCCACGGGTTATGATGGAAGACAAGCAAGCCGCCCACTAAAGGACCTGTTATGCCTCCAATTCCGTAAAGGACGGGGAGGTAGGTAAAAGCCTGTGACTGGTTACTCCGGTCAGTGATTTCACCCAGGCAAGTAGATACCAGGCCCTGATTGCCGTTGACGGCGCCCATCAAAGCTTGCACGACAATCGCCTGAGCCAGTGTTCTGCAGAAGCCAAACGCAACAAAGCATGCTGCCGTCAATATGGTACCCAGCAAAATGACCGGCCTCCTTCCGATTCTGTCAGACAACCAGCCCCAAAAGTAATTCGTCGCGAACTGCGCTACGGCAAAAGCGGTAGCAAGTGTTCCGACATATACGCCAACCATATCCGGTTCCACCTCTGGAAACTTCGAAGCCATTTCAGGCAAGTAGGGACTGATCGAATTGAAGGCTGTCTGTTCGCAGAGGGAGATCATCGCCAAAACAGCCATCTGCTTCTTTGGCAATGGGGAGTGTCCTTCTGACTCATTATTGTTGGGCTCATCGTGGGGTTGATCTGCTCCTGAGGACCTAGATTCACCAGAATTTGGTCGACCACGCGATTTCGGCGGCGGTGTTTCGAAGGTCTGATAGTGTAGTGTGGAGGAACGGCGCCGATTGAGGGCGTCCCGCTCAGACGTCCTCATCGTGAGATCAGGAAGTTATGCACACAGAGTAATGAACCCCCAAACGTACTTAGCACATATATATTGGCAGTACGGTCAAGGGGTTTGTCTCCCTGGGCCGTTAAGAACGGTCCTGGTGGGTACGCTCAGGCTCAGCGACCTCTCAAGCTTTCGCGATGTGGCGTCGGTGCCCGCGGCGAAGAAAACGAAAGAGGGGCACGACCCTAACCCGCGACCACGACCAAAAGGAACGATGGTGATGATGTTTTGTGCACAAGCCCCAAGCTCTGTCGATCAAATAGTGAGGAACGCGTCAGGGAAAGAGATCCAGCACGATTAAGGCAAGGCAACGAACAAGGAACGGCCGAAAAGAATGTCCGATATAGAGGATGATGATGTAAGCCGCGAACATGGGGATTGTGCTGAGTCATCGCGTCATCCCGCATCAAAGTCCGCCCACAAAGCCCTTGAAATGAACATTGTAAAGCATTTGACTGGGTGATGGCATGCAGGCGCGGCTCGGGTTGCATTGTCCCTGTCAGGAGACTCAAGGGTCAGGTGAATACATACTGTGTGCACTCTCTGTCTTTGCTTACCCCGTAGCCAGTAACTACAATGGAATTAAGAGCCAAGCCAAGCCCGACCAGACCAGACCAAACGCTTGTTCACCCACGCGTATGGCACGTGCCATCTGCCTTTTTCCGCACATGACATCATCCCACAATCGATTGTTCTTTCAAAGTAGTATAATCATCGAATGTAGGAAGACAAGAGCTCATTATACAGATAATGAGCCACGGTCAAACTGAATAGTCCTGTTTCTTATGTTATATGCTGTTCAGCACACCCCCTGTCACTAATGCTCCTTAGTATCCACCTCGATTTCGCGTTGGCTCCACTGTGTGGAGTATTCTTCACAAAGAAGCGCACACTCGACCACTTGAGTACTTTGCCGCTCCTTATTTACCATGTTTACTACCAGAGACCTCAACAAGGCCTGCTGGCCCAATGGCAAGGCGCTTGACTACGAATCAAGAGATTGCAGGTTCGATCCCTGCGTAGGTCATATATTTTTGCTTTTGGTTCTTTTTTTGTCCTCGTCATAAGCTGGGCCGCTTTTGTTCCTTTTCGTTTCTTTCCTCTGTTCTTCTATTTTAACAATGGTCTATTTTGTCTCTCCTTCTTCTTTCGCCCATATAACTCCTTTTGTATATCAGTAGTATACGATTGTGTGATTGTTGTTCTACACCTTAGTCGACTGAGAATCCAGTCCAGCCATGTCTAACATTCATTATAAAGATCCATATCAATATTGCTACGAATGCATCATCGCAAAGGAATTGGTGATCGCAGTCAAACACATATGCTTAGGAGAAATTGCAATAGATCAGTGTGTTTACATAAACAAATAAAGAAACAACCATTGCGCGCATCACTTCATCAACAAATTAACAGCCCAAGGGACACTGAGTCCGCGCAAATCTCCATAGTGCTGCCCAACTCCCAAAAATACAATGGGTATGCCAGTTGCATGGACCATGCTCACAAGTGTACCAACCATGTCCCCGACAGTGTCACACTTGCTGATAATGAACCCATCCAGGTTTCTGCCAGTGCCAAATGCCTGGTTGAAGTTGCGCGCCTGCATCACACTATCAGTGCCAACCAGAGCTTCCCCAACCATGAAGATCTTGTCAGGTTTGGCGAATTTGCCAAATTTCTCCAGGGAAGACATCAAGCGCTGGTCGTTATGACGCCGCCCAGCAGTATCAATCAAAACAACGTCGAATTTGTTGGCAGCTCCGTACTCAACAGCATCCTTGGCCACATTTGCTGCATCCTTGCCATATCCCTTCTCATACAGCTCAACTTGCCCAACATTTTCGCGAACGCTGAGTTCTTTTAAGTTCCGGGCGTGGACACGAAGTTGCTCGACCGCACCAGAGCGAAAGGTATCGCATGCCGCAATCAGGACGCGATAGTTGTTTTGCAACAGGAAGTAGCAAATCTTGCCCAAATTGGTCGATTTGCCAACGCCGTTAACACCGACTATGGAGATGACATAAGGACGGGGGGATTGCTGTTTACTTGTGGGAGAGGTGACTGTATCAATCTCCCGTAGCAGATCCAGCGAGGATGTAGGGGTGAGTATCTTCCGCAAAGACGACTCCATGGCCTGGCGTAATGCAGCATCCACACTCTGAAAGTTTCCTGTTTTCTTTCCGACAAGTTCCCGCTGCACACCGTCGCATAGGCGGACCGCTGCTTCGCGCGCCACGTTCTTCTTCAAAAGATGGTCCTCCATAGCTTTCAGGGGCTTCTCTAAATCAGATTCGGTCAAGACCTTCCCCCCGACGATGTTGCGGAAAAGACCACCGATAGCATTGAATCCTGAGCCAACGATTCCTGTAGTCGTGTTCTTTGCTTTTTCACTATCCGCATTCTCCAGGATAGAATGGACTTCATCACCCAGGTCTTTCAGAACGAACTGTCCTTTCCCAGTTCTGTGACCCCAGGAGTCCTGCGCGACACCTTCCACGGCTGGAGCTGCTGCTTCATCGCCATCAGCAGGTGCGGAATAATCCAGAACTGTGCCATCATCTTCATCGGCATATCCATCAGCATCCCATTTGCGCATCTTCTTCCCTCCTTTTGGGGTCTTTCCCTTGCGGATGCTCTCATCCCCTGATGAAACGTTTGCGCTCGAGTTCGCGGCTTTGCGCGCACGACGAGAAACCCGGCCACCCGGTCCTCCTCTAGCGGTCAAAATCTGGCTCGCGACAGGCGTGGTAGATCGAGAAGTATCTGGGGTCTGGGGCGGCGTACCCTCATCAGAGGTCGCCACGCCCGGCGCAGCGTGTCGCTGCGCTTCACAAGTGTCAGCATACCTCCTTGAGCCATGATTAAAAGATCGAAAAGCACATACCTTGAAGAAGGCCAGGCACAGATGGGGGTGGAGGGCCACCATGTTCCGATGAGACAAGCGGGTCTTTCTTGTATTCCGCACCCGTCACGACTCCCTCCGAATTGATGGGCACCGAGTTATCTTCAAGCTCCCTCACTTGTTGTTCGAAATATCTGTCAAAAGGATATTCGACCACCCTTGCACGTGTACTCCGCAGCTGGTCTTTGTAGATGTCGATGAACAAGGTCGAAATATTGTCCAAAAGTTTGTCGATCCAACCGAGATGCAGAAGTGATTGATACACGGCCTGTGGCGAACTCGAGATTAGCGGCGATGGCAGCATGCTGTAAGACCAGGACATACCACAAAGATCAGATTAAACTCCTTGACCCTCTTCCACTTCAATGTATACTTTTCCTTTTTGTAAACTGGGTAGGCCGCATTCGCCGCTTGGATCTGGACCTTTTCTTCGATAAAGACATCATTGATAAGGCTGTTAACAACGTTGGCGCCAACGGGGGCGTAGGACTTGGACCATAAAACTACCCCGGAGGTGGTGAGAATCTCAAACGCTTCCAACATCTCGAATATCCTTTGCTAAATGAATGGTGTAGTGGAGTGGAAAGTATGAGCTGTAGGAGAAGGTAAGAAGATCCGCACTGTGGGGAAATTATCCTGCGGGCGGAAAGCCAGTTAACTGAGCTCGAACTTCACCTCCCAGAGTTCCGCCACGTATAAACACAACTCCGACCACGATTTCACTCTTCTCCGACTCTGCACCATTCTTCCACTTAGACATTCCTTAAATTAAAGCAGGGCCCTCATTTGGTTTGATTCTCCTATCCGTTCTCTCTCTAAGGGAAACAAAACATGTACCGTCAGTCCTTCGCTCCGCCGCCAGCACAGTCACCTCCGCTTCATCATCCCGTCCCTCAGCATGTTTCCACCGTCCCAATGATGCGCTCTCCACCCCCTCCGACATCTCAGCAGTCTCAGACGTCTGGCTATGGCAATAACCCGTATCAACCCGCTCCGGCGCAAGGCGGCAGTGGGACATACGCCCCTGGATTCGGAGGTTTCATCAACGATCCCACTGCGCAAATGGGATTCCAGGTCGGGAAGACCGCCATGATGGCCGGTCAAGAATATATGGAACAGAATGTAAGCTATTGGAAACCGAAGGACAGGCTTATAGTTCTTGCGACTGATCATCTCGTCAGCTCAACCGCTACGTTTCCATTCCCGCCCTGAAGCACTATTTCAATGTGTCCAACTCTTATGTCTTGAATAAACTGGCCCTGGTACTCTTTCCTTGGAGGCACAAACCTTGGTCTCGTCAGCAAAGCCGTGTCACGGCGGCACCCGCAGGCCCCAACGGTCAGATCTCCCATCAACAATACTCGACCATGTTCCTTCCCCCTCGCGATGACCTGAACTCGCCCGACATGTATATCCCGGTGATGGCTCTCGTCACATATATCCTCCTATCAGCAATGCTGGCAGGGTTCAGAGGCAACTTCCACCCCGAGCTACTTGGGTCGATCACGACCACAGCTATTGCAGTCATCCTATTCGAGATCCTTTGTCTAAAGCTGGCCACGTATATTCTCAGCATCAACAATGAGTCGCAACTACTAGACCTCATGGCTTACTCGGGCTATAAATTTGTGGGCATCATCATCACATTGGTGACATCGGAAGTTCTGACTCCGGGAAGAGGCACTGGCGGCTGGGTCGGCTGGGTTGTATTTATTTACACATTCCTGGCTAATGCGTTCTTCTTGGTAAGTCTGTTTTTTTATTCGGACCTTGATGCTAGACCAATCGACTAATCTACTATCTAGCTTCGTTCCTTGAAATACGTCCTCCTTCCAGACTCGGCCAGTGATGCACGCACGGGATCGATGCACACCGTCGCCCGGTCGCAACGCAACCGTCGCACCCAATTCCTGTTCATCTATTCTTATGTTATCCAGTTTGTCTTCATGTGGGTGTTGAGTCGGGAGGGCCCAACTGCTTCGAACGTAGCAGGAGCGGCGTCGTAATAGAGATATTTGGCCCCACTGGATTTGCCAATAACGAGAGACGCCCTCACGAAGAAAACAGATATAGCATAAAGCAGTGAAAAAATCGGTTCTTGTGGGTGACTTTTGTTACGGATGCTATGTAAAGATGTTAGATAATTCCAGCTGTGTTATATCATGTTTTAGCATACAAGCGAATTTGGGCGGATACTCTCTTGATGTTCTGATAGATTCTAGACCATATATTGCCTACGTAATATGTACCTACTCATATATTGACTTGGTGAGTACGAGTCACTAGCCCATGCCTTGACAATCGTGACCTCTGAAGACAAGTACCCATAATCTATAATCTAGAGGATGTTATATTAATCTAGTCCTCTCGGTCTTTGTGTTTTCCCAAAACGATCCTCGGTCGTTGAGCTTAGGCATTTCTGCTCCAACGGCTGGCGACGTGAAGTTGAGATGGGTCTCAGCAATTAATCCTGAACAAGGAACTAGCCACTTTGGTTTTGTAGCCACATTCGCCAAGCTTGATCCATCAGTATCGATCGAACCCTGGCCTCGAGCCATTCTGTATTGCCCCAGAAACCCCAGGATGCTTGGAAACGACACCAATCCACAAGCGCAGTCTCCCAGTGGCGGATCAGAAGGGTCATGGGATAATCGAATTCTTTCATTCTCGATGGGCGACGGGCCAGTAGAGTTTCCCGGTAGCGCTCCAGCAAGGCCCTTTCACCATCATCCATGGCGAGCGCTTCAGGGACATCGTAGTCGTCGGTGAGCATGTCCAACGGTACGGAGCACGTAAACAGCTTGGCAAGGTCGCAAACCCCCAAGCCCAATCCAACGTATTGAAAGTCAAAAAAGGCTACTTCATCCCCTGAGCTTGTAGTAAAGAGGTTCTCAGATTTGACATCACCGTGGATATAACTTTCATAGGGCCGGCCGCATGGGGTGAGAAAATCAGCCACCTGATCAGCAATCGACAACGCCGAGCCTTGCAGCGGCTCGCAGAGCGCAGCAGACCACTCAGAGTCTGGATCTTCTACTAACGAGGCCAGTTCCTTCTGCCGAGTCGCGAGGTAGGTGTAGCCACCATTTAACCAGAGTTTATCACCGCCTGCAGCTGGGTCAGCTCTCCTTCTCTGCATCTCCTTCAGCGGCGGCAGGAGATATGTATCGAGGTCATCTGGAAGCAGTCTCCAGGTGTTGGCATGGAACTTTGCCAGCCAGTCGATGGCGGCGTAGACCTGTTGGTGGTTGAGAAGCGCTCTCTTTTCCCCTGCAACAGGGAACTTTGGACGGAGATCCTCCATAATGGTGGCAGTCAAGCCCTGGAGTACCTTGCTCTTGTCTTGTTGCAGGTGCCCCGTGGAAGCTAGGCAACTCGCAACGGCAACATCCTGGTCTAACGATGGAGTGATTTCTTGGTAGAAATATTGCTCAACTTCGTAGCTGAGCAATTTACGCAGGTGGCCTTCATCGCCATCGCTCTTTGGGGGCGATATGAGTTTGAGAATGAGGTGGAGGTGACCGTTCGCATCCTCTTCTAGTTTGCAAGAATGAATGTTCGAGTGAAGAGGTGTATGGTTTCCCGAAGCCTTCGCTGTGATTGCGCATATATGGCCATAGCCTGCCCAGAGGGTCTGGAGGACCCTACAAGAAATTAGCTCGAGGCCGATGGGCGAGAGTAATGTCTCGGCAACAAGCTCCGCTTTGGCAAGAGACATGGTATGGGGCACTGGGGTGATATTTGACGGTTGTAACATATGGTGCCTAGGATTGAAACTATGGAGTGCATGCAGTGATGATCACGTTATTTTTTTTACCGCCTTGAAGATCTACAGATACTCATACATGTACAAAAAGCTATCAAGCAAGGGTGAAATGCTGTGACATTCGAATATCATTTTCATGCTATCTAGGTATGCTATCAAAGTCCAGTGGATTAAGACCTATAACGTCGAACGTTAGACACCGATTCCGAAGATAAAACGGGATCAAAATGTGAGATTGAGGGTGTTCCATCAGAGATCTTGGTGATGAGGGTAATATCATTGCCAGAAGCATCAATTACTATCTAGGCAGTGCAAAGTTGTCTTCCTCGGAACAGGGGCAGGCGATGTAAAAATTCTGAACGTACCTTTTCCAGACCAAGAGAGAATAGTTGAGAAGCGAAGCTTGAGAAACGAACCTGCAAAGTCTTTTGACATGTTAGCCATGATTCCATATACAAGATGGAGTAATAACAATCAAGTGAAGTTGAGAGAGTATCAGAATATGTAAGAAATTGAATATCATACTTCAGTGCTGTATCGAAACTCCGGCGAGAGCTTCACAGACACTGGGTCAATCGCAAATTATCGCATCATATAAGTGGTGGGAGGAGAAAAAACAAGAAAAGTTCATGTTATACATACCAGTTGGGTTATGCTGTATATTGTCGACAGTTAGTTGAAGGCCAGCTGATCGTGAATCTTTGCCCAAAACAGCATTATGTTTTGATGAAGACAGAAGAAAAGCTGAAGCTTTTGCTTTGCAGGAACAAAAGAAAAAAAAGTCCACCAGAGAAAATGAAGCTTAAATGCAACGGGATCGGAAGCGGAAGAATAGGAGGCTCCGAAGGCGGCGCTAAGACAACGAAGCAGCCCTAGTCCGCACCACAGGTCCCATCGACAGGCTCCGACTGGCTGTTAAGCGAGAAACTGTGGGCAACGCCGCAAGACCGAAATTCGCGACTCCAGCAGCCAGAGCGAACTTGTGCGTTTCGGACGACCCTTCGACAACCCCGACCACTTCGACAACAAATTCCTCCACCGACCTCCCGGAGTCTGTCGACCGTGAGTGATTGATGCGCCCGTCTATCGTCCCAGTGGAATCTGTTTTACTGAGACCGTCATTTTTGGCAATTTTTTAGGAAGCCTTCGCCATGGCCGATATCGATATCAAGATCGCTCAATGGAAGCTCGTTGAGATTGGCCGTGTGGTGCTGATCCGCCGCGGCCCCTACACCGGCAAGCTGGCCACCATCGTGGAGATTGTCGACCACAGACGTGTATGTTTTTGATCCGAGCGAGATATGGGACAGCCGCGATTGGAATGGGCAAAGGATACTTGGGAGATGGACATGATATTGACCAAGTGTCGCAACGAAATAGGTTCTGGTTGACGGTCCTTCCACCGAGGAGAACAAGATCGTCCCCCGTCACGTTCTTCCTCTCGCCCACGCCACCCTCACCCACTTCGTCATTCCCCAGCTTCCCCGTGCTGCCGGTACCGGCCCCGTCAAGAAGCTCTGGCAGAAGAGCGAGATCGACAGCAAGTGGGCTCAGTCCAGCTTCGCCCAGAAGACCGAGCGTGCTGAGCGTCGGAAGAACCTCACCGACTTCGAGCGTTTCAAGGTCCTGCGCCTCCGGAAGCAGGTACGTGGATGGTCCCCATTGATGGTTTTGAAAGGATGAGACTAGGGCTCGGAACATATATTGGGCCTTGCGCTAGGATCGGAAAATGAGAATAGGATGGAAGGCTGACATTTCGGATTCTTTATAGGCTCGCTTCGAGGTCCAGAAGGCTCACGCCAAGCTCAGGGCGGCTGCTCCTAAGTCGTAGATGGTTTACTTCATGAGGCTCGGTGCATAGTGTGAAGGGAGTGCCTTTGGGACGGTTTTACATTGCTGAGGGTTTATTTGATTTCAGCAAAAAAGACGCTGTACGCATTATCATTGGCAGCATAAAATGATTCGAGAACCTTGATATCCTGACCAAGAGGTTACGCTCGTACGTCACAGAAGACGGCACACCTTTCTACTAGTATTAAGGAGACTCCGGGTTTACTTATCTTGACATCAGCGGGCCATGCCTTTTTAATGGAAATTGGGGAATGATCCACAAAAACCATGAAGGGAAAACAAAACAAAAAAAACAAACGTAATTTTCATGACCAAGCGCTTTTATTTAATTTTGTTGTATTGCTACGGTTCTAGAATTCAAATAGAGCAATTCCGATAGAATTTGTCGGGATATGGTCATGTAACGTTGGAGATAGACATTCGTTCATACATACATACATGCAGATAACATTGGTAGTTCGTAGTTTGAGTCGCTTGTGTGTCCCGGCGTCTGGGGGGGAAACTCGTGAGGGACCCAATCAGCTCGCTAACGATTTTCGGCAGCCATGACATTCACACAGCTTTGCGCCTTTCCAACCTCAACCAGACCAAAAAACCCCCTCATCCACCACAGTAATCTTTTCTGTGTCTAGGTACGTTATTATTGTATCTCTGGCCGGCAAGATGATTTTTACGCTCGGAACTGGCGAATTCCTGCAATTTTCGTGGGCGGGACCCTTCGGTTTCGTGGGCCACAATTCGAGCCTCCAAGCGACCGAAACAGTCCTAGAGTGCGAATTGCTGACCCTCGATTTAACAGCCCGTTTAGGCTCTCTTAATTCACAAAATGGCCGACCCCCGCGTTGAAGAGATCGTTGAGGAGGAGACTCCCAAGCAGATCGTTGAGGATGCTGGCAGCGACTCCGAGTCCGAGGCTGGCGAGGAGGCCAACATTCCCGCCGGTGCCGCCGTCACCATCCACTCCCGTAACGAGAAGAAGGCTCGCAAGGCCATTGGCAAGCTCGGCCTGAAGCACGTTCCCGGCATCACTCGTGTCACTCTCCGCAGACCCAAGAACGTATGAAGCTCGACCTACCCCGCCTCCGTCCGATGCTCGACAGTCCCTGTGCTCGAGTTGGCGATGGGTGGCACAGCTGCGTGAATGCAGAGGCTAATGTGTCTCTTACAGATCCTCTTCGTCATCAACCAGCCCGATGTCTACCGTTCTCCCTCCAGCAACACCTGGATGTATGTTTTTTCTTTTGAATCATGAAGATGTATTCGTTGGCTTACATGTTGAACAGCATCTTCGGTGAGGCTAAGATCGAGGACCTGAACTCCCAGGCCCAGGCTTCTGCTGCTCAGCAGCTCGCCGCTGCCGAGGCTGCCGCTGGTGAGCACGCTGGTCACGACCACGACCACGACCACGACCATGACCTCGGCACCAAGGTCCCCGAGGCCGAGACCAAGAAGGAGGAGGAAGAGGATGATGGCGAGCCCGTCGACGAGACCGGTCTTGAGACTAAGGACATCGAGCTCGTCATGGCTCAGGCCAACGTGTCGCGCAAGAAGGCTGTCAAGGCTCTTCGTGAGAACGACAATGATATCGTGAACTCCATCATGGCGCTCAGCATATAAGCGTTGCCCATTTAATTTCGCGCTATCAGTGGCTGATGTCTCTTAGCCCTGCTGGCAGGATGGCTTTGGGTGAGAGGTCAGGTTGATATCCCCTAGGATGCATGTTCTGTCAGGCCCTAGTGTAAATCAAGAGTTCAAAACAAAAAAAGCAGAATTGAACGACCCAATGCTTCCTCAAATTGTCAGTAAATGTCTAAATGTATTCTCTCCGAGTATTGCAAACATGAAAAAAAAAAAACTTTATAGGAGTAAGAGTTGGATCTATGGGATCCATATACAAAGGTCAATAATAACGCCTTATCCATACTTACACCGTACTCCTGTTTCTTGGCCGTAATCGTTTGTGTTCGGAACACGGGAACCCATCAGTCACGTGAGGAACATCCCCATTCCAAACCTTTGCCGAGTTGATCCTCACTCCCGGAACCTCAGTCTTTGCACGTTGAACTCCCCTCTCCCACCGATATCCCTCCAATCCACACTTCAAAATGGCCGCCGTATGTCAATTTCGCCCTAATGCTTTGGCTATGACTGGTCGCAGAAAAATTCAAATCCGCTAACGGTTCATGTACAGCGCAGCGCCGCTCTTAAGATTGACTGGGTCAAGGTGACCAGCTCCCTCGGCCTCCGCGGTCAGACCGCTGCCTCTCTCCAGGCTTTCAAGAAGAGGAACGACGATGCCCGTCGCAAGGTTCAGCTTCTGTCCGAACAGCCCCAGGCTATCGACTTCGCCCACTACCGCAAGGTCCTGAAGAACCAGGCCATCATCGACGAGATCGAGAACCAGTTCAAGACCTTCAAGCCCGCTACCTACGATGTTTCCCGTCAGCTGAAGGCCATCGATGCCTTCGAGGCCCAGGCTGTTCAGAGTGCTGAGGAGACCAAGGGCAAGGTTGAGGCTGAGCTCCGCAACCTTGAGAAGACCCTCGAGAACATCGAGACCGCCCGGCCATTCGATGAGCTCACTGTGGTATGTTTTGGCTTCCATGAATGGCATATGCCAATTTGGCGGGGGTATCGATATACTAACCCGTTTGTCTTTCTGTTCTACAGGATGAGGTTGCCTCTGCCCAGCCCGAGATTGATGAGAAGACCGCCTCTATGGTCAGCAAGGGCCGCTGGATGCCGGCTGGTTACAAGGTGAGACTGGTCCATATCCGAACGTATGGCCATCCGCATACTAATATCCGTTCTCACTTGCAGGAGCGCTTCGGCGATATGTCTGTTGTTTAAACTATCAGCATTATCTGTCATTTTACGCCTCTTTTTTCTCCTTCGACCAGTGTTATCACACGACGGGATTTTCTTTTGTCAAGCATGTTGGCCAGCTAGGATACCCTTTGCGTCTGGCAGTGTGAACTTGGTTGTGGGACATGTATAGAAACAATGTGCAATTTAGAAGATGGTTTCCTGCATTAACCAACAGCCTTGTTTTTGTGCTTCCGTAAACGATGTTCAGCCCGTCGGTGAATTTCTTCGAGAGAGTCCTCTTCTATAGCACTAGTGGATTGAGAATCCTATCATCTGCTCTCCTCTACCGTACAGCTTATGACTATCCAGTAAGCGGCAAGTATGGTTTAGCGATATCCCACGGTAGGGATTAGGGTAGGTCTTCTGGTTCCGGATCTCTTCACATCCAAATATATTCTACGGATCTGAATACGCAAGAGGATTCTATATATATTCCCGCTCCAGGTGTTCCGAGCGATTAGTACTTTGTCCGACATACACCTGATGTCGGAGCCTGAGGGGGGTTTTTGTTTCGTTCCGCCTTGGGCGGTTGAACCTCGCTCTTGACCGATTCCTACGCGTCACGCCCGGCCTCTCTCTTACACTTTATATCCCAGCACTGCTGCGTAACGCCCCGGGGCGAGATGACTCACGGCGCTTAGCTGCAACACTATAGATCACACAGCCCATTCTGGATCCTCCACCACCAGGGACAAGTGATCTGAGCCCCGCATCTCTTGCGGTCCGGAGACTGGCTGCTGTGAGCGCCCACCCTGGTATTTGCCCGGTGATCAGACTAAGAGGCAATCCATCTGGTCACTCGGCAACCTTGTGGTGTCTTTCTCACAATTCGTCCGCTAATGACCGATCAGGCAAGGCATAAGATATGACCAAGGGAGCCCTATCCCCTCTGTCTCTTGTTTAAGAGAGACTACTAAAAGACCGACTTCCATGAGCACTGGTTAGGTTCTATCAGAGATCCACTGCTCGACTAAGCGTCTTAAACGGGTCCATCAGGCAGATGAATCAACTATCACCACCGGGTCAGAACCGGTGTCACGTCGAAAATCTACCCGTGGAGATCATTCAGGAGATCTTCTTCCGCTGCCTTGAATTCAATCTCCCACGGGCATCTCTGTATATCTCCCGGGCTCTTTCTGATCCCACGGTCTACACTTGGCTCATCCGACTTGCCTTTAGCAGCGCCAACGAGAGCTCAAAGAGAGATTTCTTTACCCCAGACTTTCTACCACCGCCTCTGGCCTTCTTTGCACTCTCTGAACATCAGCGAAGAGATCTTCAAGATGAAATTCTGGCTTCTCGCTGGTGCACACTGCCCTTGGTGCGCAAATGCCAAAGGGAGTACGTGGAGCATGCGATTCGCCGCAAATGTCGAGACCTAGACTTGGCCCCTGAAGATCACGATGCTCTAGCCAACATCAGTAGTCGCTTCAGTAACCTAGAAAATTGCGATAAAGGCTGGGGCGGATGCCGCAGCAAAGGCGATTTGATTCTGAAAGCTCGCGACCGAAACACCGACGTGGATTACAAAGTCGCAGTGTGGTTTCATTTCGGGGCGTTCCAGGTCCGCAAGCCCAACAAGCTAGTCACCGACCTCGATCTCTTTCGCCTGCCATGCTGCTTGCCGGATCTGCCCGCTCGCATGCCAAAGAAACTGCTCGGCCCACCTTGGACGGACACGAAGCTTGAATTTCTCCAGTTGCTCTCGATGGACGCGTACATCGACGCAGACGACACCTTCACCCGTTCGCGGCGTATCCTGCGACAGGTCATTCGGGACCGTGATTTTGCGACCTTCCAGCGACTCGTCAACATGCACATCCGCTGCCAGTGCTACAAATACCCAGTGCGCTGGCCTGTCCTCCCAAACCACTTCCAGGTAGCATTGAAGTACGCAGACGAGTATGACGATCCATTCATCAGACTACTAGTTGAGCAACGATGGGAGGATATCCCGGCAAATCTGCTACATCTCAAAGACCAATTGATGTCTAAAGCGGGAGCGAGCCATATGTGATAACGTCTTTAATCAGCATGCGCTTCTATTAGCATTCCATTACTATAATACACCTGTGGGGAATAGAACTGAAAAAAAAAAACAAAAAACCCAAAAGCCGATAGAAACCAAAGACGAAACATCATGCGCATCCATCGTAACTCATCGCGCGCCGCGGTTCACCACTTAGATTCTGGACCGCCGTGTCCGTGTTGTTCCTCTCCTCCTCCGTCCACAGTAGCCGCAGGTCAGGCAGGAGATGATCACATCGAAGAGGGTGACGATGCCGTCGATGATCGCTTTGCAGACCGAGCCGATGGTATTGACGATGCCCATGAGACAGGCACCGATGGCGTGGAAGACGCTTTGGATCTGTTATCAGACGTTAGAATATGTTTCTGGTCAGGGAAGAGTGAAGGGGGGAAACGAAGGAAACATACACAAGATACAACAGCACCCATCTTGAATAGAATCTCAATGGTCAAGTCACGAACTTGTTCTCAGATTTAGACAAAATCACTGAATGATGTCTTGAAACTTCTTTGAATAGAGTAGTAATGTATTGCTATTCTCTTCTCGTAGTGGAGTAAAAAAAAAAAAGTAATGTACTTCGAATTGTTCCTACCTTCAAAAACCAACCCCCGAACTCAGGCCAGCACGACATATATATATCTATACATCGTCCACCCCCAATACTATTAACCCACCACCACGCAACACCAATGATGTATGTCACCAAACAACAGTGAAAAGCCCTTACCGCGCATACTGAATCCATAACCCATCAGCTTGCACAACAGACCGCCATTTTCGTCATACTGACATGGAGCCAGAATCCGGTCCGGATGCACACCCGCCGAATCAGGCAAAGACACGGGGATCATGACCTACTGATCGGCAGGCGACTGAATCCGCATTCGCCACCTGGCAATTAAACTCGTCCTGTTGGAATCTTATTGTGGTTTTTACTTTTAGTATTGTATGGAAGGAACGAGTTCCTTGAAAAGCGAGCGTTGGCATTGGGTCTGACGTCATGTGCCAGTAGTTAATGAGAAACGGTGAGTTGGATGACTAAGGTAGGGCTTGTCAGGTGGCTTGACAGCCCTATGGATTCGTTCCTGAGGAGCGGATATACTGTGTACAATGTAAGTCTTGCCGCTTTAACGGCAGCACATCCAGGTCCACACACAAGTACCGGGAGTTGAGATGCGGTGAAAGTCCAGCTTAGACTCAGGTGGCTGTATTAAAAGTATATCGACTCTCACAGCACCGTACGAGTGCTATGATACTACCCATCACAATTGGAGTTTCTATCCTTAGTTATTGTAGCGGCACTGCCCACCTACTCAAAAGAGTAGAAAAGAAAGAACCTCAGGCAGCAAAGATTCTATCCCATCGACCCACATCATATCAACAGTGAATGAACCCAGCAAATAAAACCTGATATCAACAACAACCGCCGACCCGCCATGCCCGAGAACCTCCCCTCCCACCACCCAATGGCCCGCAACAACAAAAATTGAGCGACAAACCACCCGCTCCGCGCCGCCGGGCATGCTCACGCCGATCCGAGTGCGCGGCCGCAGAAAAAAACGCCCTGCTCCCACCGACGATGCAGGACCTCGACCCAAGCGTCCAAAACGCCGCGGCGGCCGACGGCTCCTGTCGTTTGCCGAACGATACAGCTCCTACTCCCAAAGCCAAGCCATCAAACGCGCGCGTTATCTGATCACCAAACCTCCCAAACAACCGCGCAAGCAACTCAGCCGTCTAGAGACCCTCCCGGTGGAGCTGATCGAGAAGATCTTCCTGCAGTCGCTGAACGTCAACCTGCCCCGGGCGTCGGCGTCCCTCGCTGCAACGGTGTCCAGCGAGCGGATCTACCGCGCATTGATCCTCCTGGCGTTCTGGAACGATGTCCCCTCCGCGACTGGCCCGTTCGATGCCGTCTCCGCGTCGGCAATTACGAAGATCCTGCGGCCGTTGGATTACATCCCGCTTGATCTCGACGAGCGGGGCGCGCTGCAGAGTGCCATCCTACGGTGCAAATGGTGTACAGTGCAGCGGCTTCAGAGCCGGTTCCCGGATCTGATGGGTCTCAGTATCCAGCGATACTGGTTCAGCGCGGGGATCAGCATGGCAGAAAACCAAGAGGAGAAGTTGAGACGGTTCCTTGCGCGCGAAGAGGACGACGAAGACGAGATGCGGAGTTTCGAAGGCACGGATAAAGACAACAACCATTACACGCTGACCGTGTCACCGCTTGTGTCTGTCACGGTTACCTGCCACGAGACGGAGACGGCCCAGACACACCGCATCCTCGGCATCACGGAGTTCCCGGAACGACTCCTTAGGGGCGGAAACGGGTTCGCGTCCGCGACGATTGCTTTCCTCGAGACGCTTCGACTGGCGAGTGGGTTCAATACCGCCGAGCTTATGGAAACGCATGTTGCTTTGTCGCGCGATGTCCTGCAGAAGGGGATTCATGCGGCGTTGGTGGAACACAATGCCGAGGCGCTGACGTCCTTGCTCAAGATCGATGAGTATCATTTCCGGTGTAGGAATACGAACGTCACGACGGCGAATAGTGTACCGTATACGCTTCCAGCGGAGCATTTCCGTACGGCTGTACGGGTTGCGCGTAATAAGCCGGCTCTCTTTCAGCTTCTTGTCCGCGCCTGTGCGGAGTCGGTCCCGGCGGATGATTCGGATATCACGCAGTGGGCTATGGATCTAGGTGATTCGTTTGGCCGGTGGCTTCTTGATCTTATGTTGCAGCTTCCGCAGCGGATTAAGGCGGCGAATGCTAATCCGGCTGAGGGGGCGGTGTTTTATCTGGGGAGAGCGAATGGACAGGTGGAGTTGGCGAGACGGTATCTGAATGAGGTTTTGGGGGTGGAGGAATTGGGGAGTTGGATGGAAGAAACCTCGCATGACTTTGAGAGCCAGTGGAAGGCGCTATAGGGATTCTTTACTCTGCACGGTATGATTTGTTGGATGATGATATGTTGTTTTCACCATGTGTATTATATGATATTGTACATAGAACATAGATGCAATGTCGCTGGTGACATCGCTGAATTAATTAAGATTGTATACCCCAACCAACCTACATGTTCTTCAACAGTCGTAGTATACCAGAAACTCTTCCGGCCAGAGTCAGCTGATATCCTGTTTCAACGACACCCTTACACATCTCCCAAGCGCCGGTCCCATCCTGACGACTGCCATCTCCCTTGTAGATAGGATAATCCACGCGTGGCGGAATGCGAGTCGCCATTAGCTTGGGAAACCGGTCAATGCAGAGGGACTTGATGTTGCTCACGCCACGCAGTCCTTCCTCTCCCGCAAAGCGACCGTATCCTGATCCCTTGACGCCACCGAAAGGCAGCTGCACGGCATAATAGCTTCCAAAATCGTTGACAGATACCATTCCCGCTTTAATGTTCGAGACACAGGCTGCGACATCAATATGGTTGTAGCCGAAGACGCTAGCGCCTAGAGCGTATTCCGTTGAGTTTGCAATTGCAATAGCGTGGGGCACGGAGTCCGCGCGCATGAGGAGAAATACTGGGGCGAAAAGTTCGGTTTGAGCGATCCGCATGGAAGGCGTGACGTCCGCAAGGAGAGTGGGCGCAAAGTAATGGCCATGAGGATACTTCGGATGATTAACACGTTTTCCACCGCAGACAAGGCTCGCGCCTTGTCGGACTGCGTCGTTGATCAACGATTCCAGGCGGTCGAAGGAGGCCGGGGAGATTAAAGCGCCCATGTCTGGAGCGCCGGGTTTCTGTTGAGGATCTTCGGGGTTGGATTCAAGGAGGACGGAACCAAGGCGGAATGGCTTGATGCGTGAAGACACATCATCCAGAAGCTTGTCATACACTCCAGGCAAGGCAATGACCCGCTCAACACCAATGCAGTTTTGTCCAGCGGATTGAAAGACACCTCGCATGAGAATGGACGCGATAGATGAGATCTCGCTCACTGTTCTGGGATCGTCCAGAATGACCGCGGGGTCCTTGCCACCCAGTTCAACAGTCACTGGAGTCAGTGCCTTTGCTGCTGACTCGCAAACCTTGTGCGCGACCGGTCTCGATCCAATGAAGGTCAACTGAGCGACCTCCGGATGTGAAGTCAAGAAATCAGCAACATCAGGCAAGCAGACGACGCTCTGTACAAGATCACGAGAGTGACCACATGCCGAAAGCGCACCTCTCACGACTTCTAGAAAGAAAGCCGAGGACCATGCAGTTTGCTCCGATGGTTTTACAACCACACCGTTTCCTGCAAAGATACCACTGATAATCGGACCGATGAAGTTATGGAGAGGATAATTCCAAGAGACGCAAGCCGACACCACCCCAAGAGGCTCATACGTGACCATGTTCTTCTTGTACATCATCAGGAAATTCGTGGGTCTCGATTCGGGCGTCAATGCCTTCTCGCCGTGATCAATTGTCCATTTCAACTTCTCTGCCGTCACAAGGATTTCCCCGAATGAAGCATCGACTTTAGTCTTTCCAGAATCCAAACAACAAGCGGTGACAAGTTCTTCTTGGTGCTCGAGCACATATCTGTTTTCCAAAAAGGCTCAGTTAGCTATATTTCTCGACCGCAGCAATAGAGGTTATGTATGGAACGCACTTTAGCAATGTCCGCAAAACCTTCCTCCTTTCAGCAAAGCTAGTCCCAGCCCATTCCGTTTGAGCCTTCTTCGCTGCTTGGATCGCTCGGTCGACATCTTCAGTCGTTGCAGGTTTGATTCCGTTACCAAGTATTCTTCCATCCGCAGGACAATAGCTCAAGATAACTTTGTCGTTCCACGACTATAGAAGAGAAAACTGGAGTTAGCCATTGACATCCCTCCAAAACGACGAATTCGAAGACGAGTAAACTTACCCCTCTAAGTTGACCTTCAAGCACCTTTTTCTCCTCCCCCTGAACATCTTCCCACTTTTTACCTTTCCAGTTGGCACGGACTTCAGGTGGAATTGGCACGTTAAATGCCACGGCAGCTTCATTCCTTCCCAGGATGTAAAGGTATCCTAGGTATATCGCGCCGAGCGAGACAAGCGCGACACCGACCAAGGGAAGTTGATCGCGAAGAGTTCCCGCGAGTGGAAGGAGAGCTGGAGGGACGTACGGAGTTAGGGCCTCCATTTTGAAATCCAGACAGCTGCAATTGAGCTCCAGGAACCTGTCTGGAAGGGTTCAGGAGGCGGGCGAATGTGGGACACGGAGGTGCGCAGCGGAAGTGGTCCCATTGTTTTATCAGGCACTCCGATAGGGGTGCACGTGCCACCCATACTATAGAATAGACCATCAGACAATATATATCTCTTTTCCCTTGTTGGTTGTCCACCGTGAAGGTTAAGCAAACATGTCCTCTACTAGTCCTGGAATTTGGTCCCGATACATTCACCTGTTGCCTTACTGTTGAAATCGCGCACAAGGTTCCCCATCAGCGGAAACTTATTAGATCATTCCTTTACATAGAAAAATACTATATATCCTTCGAACGTCCCTCACACCTTCGCATTGCGCGTCTGCCGTCCAGTGCTCTTACGCTTGACGGGCGGTGAGGTCGCGAGTTCCCCCTTTCTCTTCCCAGTCCTTTTCACAAGGTGATCAATAACGCAGCCTTCGTCCCACCCAGCGGACGATTGCCCAGTTATTGCTCGGCATCTTGGACAAGTTTTTCCATGACGGATGAAGAGCTGATGAAGAGAGTATTTGAGGTGATTCGGGATCCGCACCTCGAGATGGCCAAACGCCGTGATCTCTGTCGCCTTGTCCGGCGGCACCCAGCCGAGCCATTTGCAGATGCGGAAGATGTGGGTGTCAACGGCAAAGCACGGACGCTGTAGGCAGAAGAGTAGGACACAGGCAGCTGTTTTGGGTCCAATCCCGGGGTACTTGACTAGTTCCTCCATAGCCTGTTCTGTGCCTAGGGTGTGGAGGTGGTTAAGAGACAGGAAGTGTTGATCTGCACATGCAATCTCGTACTGTTTGCTGCCTTCAGATTTCTGCATGAGATCCGATGGTCCAGCATCCTCGTCTTTCACTAAAATTTCCCGACGTTCCTGGTTTTCCTTGTGTACCATATCTAAAATGGCCTTAAGGTTCTTGCTCTTGATATCAGCCAAACCACCGCGCTTGATAGCTTCAAATACATCTTTAAGTGGCGCTTGACGAACGGCATCCCAGTTAACACTCCCTTTACCTATCCCTTCGTGGAGGATACCGAACTTCTGCACCAGCCCATTGAAAGCCAACGCAGAATTGTTTCCCGAAGTGGCACCGCTAAGCAAAGTTCGAATAAGCGCATCAAGAACCGAGGGAACCTCTCCACATCCCGTTACAGTGAGAGACGGCTCTGGAATGGTAGTGGGAGGAACAATCTCTCCATGTACACTGGAGAGTAGTCCATTAACCTCTTCGCAGGCATCGGGGGTTGGATGGGGCCAATCTGGGAATGGAGTAATTCCTGGTGTTATACGATATGGATTGGCCTTCTTGCTTTTATCTGTTGGCGCCGACCTGGGTGCTGTCCTGGCTTTCTCAGTGGTACTTTCCAGTTCATCCGCAAGAGTGCCTATCATCTCCTTCTTGACCCCCGAGGATACGGCGTTGGTCTTATCCGTTGGTTTAACGGACGAGCCTAGATTATGAGGTAGTTCATTCGCATCGTTAATCTCCGAAGCCGAAAGTTTTGTCTTGCGCCGCTTGGAAGCAGGCCCAGTCTTTGGTTTGTTTCCCAAGGATGACGACTGTTGGTTGGGTCGTTCATTTTGCAAATTGGGCGGCTTAGTGGCGAATTCCTTCTCTGACGTCGTTGTCGCGGATGCCAGTATTGCAGCTTCTTTGGCAGCAGCAGACCTTGTCATGCGACGCTCCATGATAATCCTAGGCCACCGAGGAGTTCTTCGAACCAAGGGTAGTAGTGGGTTGAGCTTGCAACTGCCTGGGGTAGCGACGAAACAACTAAGTTTCCCACTAGGTATCACGAATGTTCTAAATTATAGCTATAGATATGGACATAGAACAGAAATTGGGTGATTCGATGGAGGGAATCATATGGATATATTGGATATGGCCGTCCAGTTATACTGAAATGGGCTGGTGACAAGCATCACCTTCACGTGATCGGGATAAATTACTTCCGCATCATCTTCACTGAAGCACTTGCTATTCAATGCCAGAGGCAAACTTTGTTCGTCATAAAAATAAAGTCTATAGGTCATGTCGTGCATACAAAAGGGTATCTGGATCCCTTTGCTATTGCGATGCGATAACCATCATCAAGCAGATAGCCTTCCGTTCTCTTTATCCACCGCCTACCAACTCCAGGACTCCAGATATGAATATACTGTCCATAAACTCATCAGTGATCATGGGTGATCGCCCATGTTGTGGATGCTAATATCCATGCGATCCTTGACTTTGGGATGCTCCTCGCTCTCGGGTTCGCGAGTGCTACAGAGGCTGACCTGTGGCACCTCAGACTCCCCCGGGGTCGACGCGGGAATGATGTTGCCGCTGGCATCCAATTTGACGCCGTTGGCAGCGATCTGGAAATCCTTCTCACTAGCAAAGCCATGAGTGACGGCTTCCTTGGCCCGATCCAAAGCCTTGATCTTGCGGCCTTCGCCTCTGATCTTTTCCAGGTGATCGAAATACCCATCAGAAACAGGAGTGACGTAGTTACCACAGAACACGCCGACCTCAAAGTTCTGTGGTTCAGCCAGCCCATTCTCCTGGGCAATCTCCGCACAGGCACCTTTCAGGTCAGACAAGGTCTGGAAGATGACACTGTCGGCGCCAATGTGCTTGGCGATCTGCTCGGGGTCACGGTTATGCGCAACCAACTCGTTAGGTGACGCAAGGTCAATACCATAGATATGAGCATGTCTGTAGAGATGATTAGCAACGTGCTCATCCCTTATAGAATGTTGTAGACTACTTACGTGATTTCCGGTGCGCAACTGGCAAAGTAAACCTTCTTAGCGCCGGCTTCTCTCGCCATGGTCACAATTTCCCGACTGGTAGTTCCTCGCACGATGCTGTCATCAACCAGAAGGACATTTCGGTCCTTGAATTCTGCTTGCATAGCATTCAGCTTGCGGCGAACACCCTTCTGTCGGGTCTTCTGCTCAGGCATGATGAATGTACGGAAAACGTAGCGATTCTTTACAAAGCCTTGGCAGTACGGAATGTCGAGATACCGAGCAACGGCCGCTGCGGACGTCGTGGAAGTCTCAGGGATAGGGATGACGACATCAATGTCCTTGACCACTTCCGGTCCAAGAACATCAAGAATCCTGGCGGCAAGGCGATCGCCCATCCGTTGACGGCTACGGTACACGCTAATGCCATCGATAACGGAATCGGGGCGCGCGAAGTAGACATACTCGAAAATATCAGGAGCATAGGCCTTCTTCGGGGCGACCTGGCGGAACACAGGCTCGCCGCCCTTTTCAATAATGACTGCTTCACCAGGTTGGATGTCACGGATGTTAGTGAAGCCAAGCTGGTGCAGAGCAACAGACTCGGAGGCCATCATGTAGTCCGTGCCTTCGCCTTCGGCGGAAGGCCTGGAACCAAGAACCAAGGGACGGATGCCATAGGAGTCACGGAAGCCGACGAGACCAAAGCCTGCTAAGGTTAGCATTTTTATTCTTGATTCCAGTACTCGAACTGGCTGATTTACTTACCAGCTAGCATAGCAGTGCATGCCCAGCCGCCCTGACATCTCTCATACATCCGGCTCAGACTGGCAAAGACGTCATCCTTGTTGACCCGTGCCTTCTTGGTTTCGCTCAACTCATCAGCGAAGACGTTGAGCATGAGCTCGCTGTCACTATCAGTGTTGATATGACGGTGAGCCTCAAAGTCCAGATATCTCTTGAGCTCCGGAGCATTGATCAGGTTGCCGTTGTGGGCCAGACAAATGCCATACGGACTGTTGACATAGAAAGGCTGAGCTTCGGCATTCGCACTGCTTCCGGCTGTGGGATATCTCAAGTGACCGATGCCCATGAATCCCGGAAGGTCCGCCACCCTAGAACCGTCATGGAAAACCTTGGCCGCCATACCGTTCGACTTCAGCTGGTAGATACGACCACCTGACGCACAGGTGGCGATTCCAGCAGCATCTTGACCTCTATGTTGGAGCAAGTATAGCGCCTCGTGGAGGTCAACGGCGGCGGAAGACGACGGATTCGCCTGGATCAAAGCAATGATACCACACATCTTGTGAATGCAATCGGATTCTAGCGGATGCTTATGGTTAGCCAATGCTCTCACGATTGATTGAGCTGCGAGACAATAGGAATAGCATCGAATACGAGATCAGGTCGGATTTTTCTCCGCAAAAATGCTTAGGAAGTCTAACATCTATAAAAAAAATACCGAAATTCATCATGAAAGGGGGGGTATATTGATTGATAACCAGGCGGGGGATTAGGCCAGACAACTCACATGCTTGGAAGATGGATCGAATTGTCACACAGACACGCAATGGTGGGGGGACAGAGTTGGAAAAAATGGAACCAGATTTGACTCTATCGAAACATAACAATATTCATAGAGAATAAGGAGAGACTGTAATAGGTGACAACTGGTAGTAAATCACACCCACGGAGGGATTGAAGGACCAAGTGGTGGCATGGTGAAGAGAAGGTTAAAGGAGAGAGAAAGAGTGAGGGAGAGGCAAGGGAGTAGAAGCCACCAGGTTTTATTCCTTTGGTCCTTTCTTTTGCCTAGTCCGATTTCCGATTTTTTTTTTTTGCTCGACTTCTCCACAGTAAAAGACAGAAAATTTGCGGGTGCCGCTCCGTTAACGGACCGGAGAAATCTCAACAGCCGGAGGGGTTGACCCCTCACGTGTCCACCGATGGTACCCAGAGGCACTACTAGTAGTTAGTTCGTCTCGTGACCCGTTAGTCAGCATTCTTCCCCTCCATCAATTTCAACCTTTCCGGATATGGATATTTAGCCCTCAATCATGAAAGGATCCAGAAGTGGAGAGTCCACTATGAGTCCTTTAAATACAGGCCTTTCCATGGACACTTGTAGACAAAGTAGGACATCAAGAGTATATTGAAGCATGGCTAGATACTATACCTTCACATACTGTATACTATTCTTTCACTCCCTCTGTGTTTGCTGTATTGTGTTTCTTTGTTTCCATTCTTTGTATTACTAACCCCTCTCCTACTTGCTGTGACAAGTTGTGTTATATCTCAAACATGTATAGCCTTAGGCTAGCGAGCAGTATTAATAAAGGTGAATAGCTAGAAGGAGGCATCGACCCAAGTATTGAGCTTCTATCTCACTCCCATCTCATCATACTTGGTACCTAGGTCCCTATAATCATGTCATGTCCCTCTCTCAAGCTTCAACCAATTCCACAGACATCTCAACCTTTATTCTCTTAGATCACTAGAGAAACTTTCCATTGCATTTGTGTCTAAAGCTTTATAACCCTGTTGCCTCTTTCACCACTCATCATCAAGGCATTAAGATAACTGTCAAAGATGTGCTCAATCCAAGCTCGTGAGCCATCCATTCTTGAGATAGCGGATCCCAGAGCGACGACCCTGGAGGTTTATGATAGCGATACAGATAGTAGCGTTACCCTTGACGATGGCTCGGCAAGGCTTCACCATGCCAATGATGTGGTGATCATCTCGGACAATTGTCCCCAAGACCCAACCCCCTTTTTGCTGAACTCAAACGCTGCAGCCAACCTGCGCGAGCTAGTCGACCTTACCAATCCGACATGTCAAGCCTTTGATACGGATGATTACCGTACGGATGAAGAGTTTGAGTTACTCCTTGAAACTTGGCAGCTGAATCCACCAAGCCCAAGAGTGACAATACCGGTCGAGGAAAACCATGAGAACACAAGAGTGCCGGTTCATGAAGTATGCGTCAACGGCATACTTTATAAAGCCGGTCAATCACTTGAGCTTTATGACGGGTCATATCTCCGGATATGTACAATACTTAAGGATGGCGCGGGTGCCATTTATTTCAATGGCCGCAGACTTATAAAAACAAGAAACCACGCCGGAACATACGTTCCCAAAGAGCAAAACGAACTTGTCTGGATTGTCAATGCGAAAGAAAGTATATCCTTTCATATGGTCAAGAAGTTCGCCAATGTAATCTTCACCAATAGATGCCAGATTAGGGGCGGCCAGCAGGAGCTGGCCAGGCCCGGTGGCCTTTGTTGTCGGTTGAAGGAGAAGATAGAAGGTGGAGAAGTCTCGATAGAGTTCATATCATCTGTCGAGGCTGATGAAGGCTATAAGATTGAACCGGCTATACTACGACACCTTTGGAGGGGGAAGACGCGAGCTTTTGGCGACGAAGACCGTTCTAGAGGCCGGCCCCCTGTAATTGTGCTAGACGATTCTGACCCTGTTATTGACCTCACCTGTTCAGAAAGTGTGGAAGAGCAAAAGACACGGCGGCAGTATACCTTCGGTGACGGTTTCTGTGGTGCGGGAGGAGTTTCATGTGGCGCCCGTCGAGCCGGTCTTTATAACAAGTGGGCATTCGACAAGTCCAAACACGCAATCTCTACCTATCGGCTTAATTTTGAGCATGCATATTGCGAGCTGAGTGATATCTTTAGCTTTCTGACAAGTGACGATGAGTTTTTGAGGGTAGATGTCAGTCACAGCTCGCCGCCATGCCAAACTTTCTCCCCAATCCATACTATAGAGGGTATTCACGACGATGCCAATTCGGCGTGCATCTTCTCTTCCTTGAATTTGATTAAACGCGTCAAGCCTCGAGTACATACTCTTGAGGAAACCAATGGCTTGCTTTCGCTTGGTCGGCACCGCGATACGTTTTATCGTGTGATAAATGACTTCATCGAAACTGG